ATGCCAACGCCAGTATCAGCGCCCGCCCGCGAGGGTAAGAGGCATTTTTTCTTTTTTTTTTCTTTTCTTTTGTTCTTTTCGTTTTTCTTTATTTCTTTTTTTCCCTCTTTTTTCTTTCTTTTCTTTTTTTCTTCTTTTCTTCTGGTTTTCCTTTTTTTCTTTTTTTTTTTAGGTTTGTTTTGTTATGTTTTCTTCTTTTTTTTCTGGTTTTTTTTGGTGTTTTGTTTGTTTTGTTTTGTGATCGTGTATCTTGATTTTGGTGCCAATATTTGTAGATTACATAAAAGTGTGCCAACATGTTGCAAATTGATCTGCTTCAAGTAAGAACAAAAGGGGAATTGTTTTGTCTATGATGATGATGATGAGAGAATTCCCCTCGTCATGGCACAAGCTAGATCACTGGAACAAGTGTAAAAATAAAATGCTTTGATGCTCTTGCTAGACTAGCGTGTTTCTTTACAACTCTGAGAGCGTCACTGTCTGCTACGACACATATGCCAGTTTCAGCGCTGACCACGAGGGTAAAAGGCTTTTTTTTCCTTTTTCTTCTTCTTCTTTTTTTTTTTTCTTCTAGGCTTTTTTAAAAAACATTTTTCTTCGTTTTTTTGGTTCTTTTCTTTTCTTTTTTTTCCCCATTTTTTTTCTTTTTTTCATTTTTCTTCTTTTTTTTCTTTTTTTCTTTTTTCTTCTTTTTTTTTCTTTTCTTCTTTTTTTGGGGGGGTTTGTTTTGTTTTGTGATAGTGTGTCCTGATTTTGGTGCTGCTATTTGTAGGTTACGTGAAAATGTACCAAACATGGTGCAAATTGTTATGCTTCAAGCTAAAACAAAACAAGAAAAGGGGAAATTGTTTAGTCTGTGATGATGATATTGGTGATGATGATGATAATGATGATGATGATGATAATGATGATGATGATGATGATGATGATGATGATGATATTGGTGATGATGATGATGATGATGATGATGATGATGATGATGATGATGATGATGATATTGGTGATGATGATGATATTGGTGATGATGATGATGATGATGATGATAATGGTGATGATGGTAATGATGATGATGATGATGATGATGATGATGATGATGATATTGTTGGTAACGATGATGATGCTGTAAATGTTGGAAATGATGTGCAGGTTAATCTAGGTGTTGTGAGGGTAAAAGGCTATGATTTTGTTGCTTTTTGATGGATTCCCAATCATTGGAAATGTTTTACAGCCCTATCAATACACTTTAAATGATTTTTAGATGAGTTTTGACTCCTTGGAGAACACGTTGGAGAACATCACTGTCGGATTTGTTGCTAATACCAGCATCAACGCCTGGCCTCGAAGATAGAATATTACATTTTAAAATTGAATTCCCTTTTTTTTTTTGTTGGTTATAAATGTTTTGCATCCCTGTTGACACAATGTAACTCTTTGAACCCCATCGGACACTGGGAGCGTCCAGTACTAGTGACAACTGTTTCGTTTTATTTAGTGCTAGATCTAGTTTGTGCTTGTTGTTCAGAACTGTTCCCGAACCAATTTTTTTTTTTAGCAATGACTAAGCCTTTGTTTCCGCTATTTAGAAGTTGGAGGCAAGCTTTTGGGGTTATAACTGTAGAAAAAACTCAGGGAAGCGGTGGAAAAAACTCAGGGCTTGAAGAGTTAAATCCAATCATATTTAGATTAAGATTAATTTCGACTCTGAAGAGAACATCGCTGGTTGTCTGTTATGATGCCAATGAGGTTTGCCACAAATGTCAATGCCCCCTCAACACTAGTTCAGTTGATTAGGAAGCCGGAAGCTTCAACCGTACCACTCAGGGCTAACTCAAACTGTTGGCACAACTTCCCAGCACACATGAACGTGTTAACCCTATCCCTATGTCGTGTTTTACTATCGTAACCATACGAAATGGGGAACTCTGTGCCCCCACTTTCCAGAGAGGAAATTTACTCGTTAATCCGATCCGTATCCTTTGCATAGCAGTTCGTCAACATGATTTTCTGAGAAATACTGAAAATTTCAAAGAGATCTTCGCACTAGAAGCATTCTAAAATGTGAAGAATACAACCCCGGGGGTGCAAAATGACCCCAGGACGTACGGATAAGGTTAAACAGAATGCTTCGCTATCATCAAATTCAGTACTGAGCTGGACGGCCCAATTTAAGACAGATACTAGACTTCAAGTGTGATGCGATCGAGAAGAAGAAGGTCAAATACAGTGTGCTTTCTACAGTTCTCAGAGCTTTCTTTTTTTTTCACTTCCTCAGCTGTGTAGGCAACCCGCCCACCCACAAGCGCTGCAGCCCGCGGAACATGGCCAACTCCACGTGCACCCACTACGACAGCTGTAGTGCCTGCCTCGCCACACACCCGGCCCTCAAGCATAATGGACCTGTAAGTCGACGCATAATCCCTGCCCCCCCAAACACACACATATACACACACACACGCACACACCCGGCCCTCAAGCATAATGGACCTGTAAGTTGATGATTATTCCCCCCACACACGCACGCACACACACACACACACACACGCACGCGCACACACACACACACACACACACACACGTACATATATACACCCCCCGGTCCTCATGCATAATTGACCTGTAAGTTAATACATACACATACACACCCCCACTCCCCTCTCTCTCTCTCTGCCTTGGATTTGTTTTCCTTTTTCTGTTTGTTCCTTCTTTCTTTTTAAGCATATATCGATCGTCCTTATCTCTTCTCCTTCTTTTTTGTTTGTTACTCTCTTGTAACACCTCTAGTCTTCAGCACTTATTGTGTTGACCTTTTATCGTGTTGACTTAATTGTGTTGCAACTCTTACTAAAACCAAACAAGAAAACACCAAACTATTACTAAAACCAAACAAACCACAAAAACCTAGACTCTTACTAAAACTTATCCCCCCCTCCCTTTTAAAACTAAACAAAAAAAATAAAAAT